CTATATTACTCCTACAGCTGAAAGTGCAGAACTTGTTCAGCATTATATCGCGACTCGAACCTTGTTCTTTCGAAAAGTTCAGTGTTTTTTTTTTTGTTGTTGTTGTTGTTGTTGTTTTTTCCCATGAAATAAGAAAAGCTTGGTATTTGTACAGTATTAAGATGCAGCCTAAAAACTTTTTTTTTTAAGTTATTGATCAACTCACTGTTAAAAGTTCCTCTTCATCTAGAAGTTATGGAGTACAGTGCAAGGTGTAATCACGCAAATGGGCACGATATGAGATACGGAAATAAAGCAATTTCAAAACTGGGACGAAAGTATATCAATAACACAAGCGGTGCAGCTGGTACTGTTATAACTCTGTGAGGAAACATATTTTTGAACCTTCATAAAACTACCACTACAACGTCTCTACGACACGTAGTTTATTATAGTTGGTGGGAAATAAGATCAATACTCCAGACGGCAGATTATATAGGTATATGAATTGCTCTAACACATGCATCTTACAGAGATGCAAGACTTACGTCTACGACTCCTCCCTCTTCCAAAATGCATATTTTGTTTCATATAATCTTATTTGATGGAGACCTAAGGCACAATAATTTAATCCTTATCCATTTGTAGTCAAAGAGTTGTACGCATGACCACTAAAATTGATCTTGAATTTTATACAGAGGTTATATTAAAACAGTTTTGGAGCCTCATCATGTCGTTATGATCCAGTTCGGTCACATTCTATCTGACAACCGTGCGTCTTCAAAATAGCCTTAAGATGTAGTTTCCATTGTAAGGCTGGCATATCGAAAGTACGCCACGCATCCCGATGCTTTCAATAATACGTCTAGTGTACGAGGATGACGGTTTCCCGGCGTTCTTCCAACAGTTCGATTGTGCATAAATCCATAAGCTCTACGTCCAGTCATTTGACTGTTATATCTTCGTATGGAATAGGATGAATGCTCATTGCATTCTTCAGTTGTTTTAAGTATTCTACGGTTGAACAGGAGGTATGACCGAAAGCCTTATACTGATGAGTCAATGCATTGTTGGTCTCGTTTCCAGACGGAGATCCTTCTTGATAATTCTGCGTTCTGTTGCCTGTGGCATTGGACAGTTTTTGTCACTGATCTTTGTGTCCGTAGATTCTCATCTGTTACAAAACGCCGCATTTTGCTTACCACGATTGGTATACCATTTGTTACGGGTCTCTTTATAGACAGTCCTGGTACCCCAAGTTGTTCCATTGTTTTCCATTGCTTTTAAGTACAATGGATATCACTTTCTTCGAAATTCTAAATCTTGATCTGAATTCACGATTGTGATCTAAATGTTTGACTATTATAATATAGCAAACTCGACCTTTTATACAACGGATAGTTCATCAAAACGTCAGTTACTTTTGTTCTAGGCTATCCAGCTTCTGGCCTGCCAACCACCAACAAATATTAAAAATAATTAAATAAATCAAATTAAAAGTATAATTTATTTTTAATGCCTTTGTGACTTAGTTGCTTAATATTTGTTATCCATTACTTGTATACTCATTTCTTTGATGCCAATAAACTTGAATATAGTCATGATATCATTTATTTTTCCATCGATAACTAGTGACACCACACTTAAAATACTAAATGACCGCCACTGCTAGCACAAAGTTTCCCACTACTGGTTGGGTCATTGTTCAACCAGAGAGCACTAAACTATGCCCACACACGAGTAGTTCATGCTTGAATAAATGTTTTAGTTTTATGTTAATTACCGCTCAAGGTGAACTTACAAATCCTTGTTGTTGTTTTTTTTAAATATATAAGGTTACAAAACAGTTTGAGAAACAAATAGATAAATAGACAGACGTCATAAAATGTAAATGGCAAGCTGGATATCTTAGTTCACTGTATTGCCAAATTAGTTTTAATAAATAGCAGTATAAAAACATTTTTAAAGTAACTTCTTGTTTCATGGATGAAACTAAACGCTAAATGTGTTAAAATTCCACAAAATTAAACTCTAAAAATATTCATATATAAGCCTCCATCGGAGATCATATACTTAAAAAAGGGAGGGAGTACTATACACTATTATAACCGAGGACACCACATTTTGTGACGTGATAACCACATCAATATACACTATATGACACACAAGTGCCATCACGATTTCTGAAAGGGGAAGCGAAGGTGAAAGGAAACGGGAGGCGGCAGAACTGGATTTCAATGCCAGTCTGTTCGAGGTTCATCGACTCTGTGACTTTCACTGAAAGTGAAGGTCAGTCTGGTCCGCCGTCTGTGTAATACGTGTGTGACAAGCAGCCGCTGCTGACGTCAGAAAAACGTTATCTTACTAATCTGTAACGGAACAGCAAATGTGTGTCCTAAAACACGTTTGGTCGAATGTTTTTATTGAAATGTGTGACTCAACAAAAAATACGAGTTCATTACGGTTTACAGCTGTTATCTGAATGAAGTTCAAAGAGTGTGTCCAAATCCAATTCCACTTCACTAAGCCACTGTAAAATACTACTGGACAACGCGAAGTTCCTGTAAAACCAATTTTAGCCAAGTTATTTTGTACCTTCTAGTTAGTTTATTGTTGCTGAAAGTTCCGCTTTTTAACGATCTTCTCGTCGACATTGATGGTTAATCTAAATGCTAAACTCGATGGCTCCAACTTTGGTATGTAAAAGGTGTATACGGTAAAAATGTCGGATTGACACTGCAAAATTGGAAAAATAATTTCTGTTAACACTGTATAATTGTATTTCATAACCAAGAGGTTATTTACGAATTTTCCATGGAAAGGTTAAATTAATGTTTGATAAGTGTGTCCTCCCCTACTTCAGTGGCATAGCGCTAAGTCTGCAAACTTGCAATGCTAAAAACCGGGTTTCGATACCCATGGTGAGAAGAGAACAGATAGCTCATTTTGTAGCTTTGTGGTTAACGACAACCAACTAATGTGTGTGTGTGTGTGTGTGTGTGTGTGTGTGTGTGTGTGTGTGTGTGTGTGTGTGTGTGTGTGTGTGTGTGTTTGCAATTTTTATAGCAAAGCCACAGGTTATCTGCTGTGTCCACCGAGGGGAATCGTAACCCTGATTTTAGCGTTGTAAATCCATAGACTTACCGCTGTTCCACCGGGGGACCCAACCAACTGAAAAGTGGGTAATGATCCTTTGGTAAAAATTATTCGTTCTTTTATACTCTGGCTTTATTGTAATAATTAAAATCGCAATCCTTTGTTTCGGTGTTCAAGTTCAATAAGAGGCGAAATATTCATCAAATTAACAGGTAGGACAATCTATCCTTGCATGTTTGTCAGTGAAGTTTACTACTGGCATTTTTACCTTCAGCTTTTTCACGTAAAATCAATAAAGGTCTTCAAATATTATAGTACATTACTGTACACTTCAAATGTAGATATACGGCCTCCAAGGTTGATGAAAAATGCATGTATTTTCTTTCTACGTGTGCATCATCGGACGAATACATTCATTACGGTGCAAAACACCTCACACTCCTTCCTCCACTTACCATGAATATTCTTTTAATGTTTATACTCTCATATGGCTTCATGTAATAGTTCAAATGACAAACAAAAGACCAGATTTGTACATAAATTATAGAAACCTCAAGGGAGAAGTAGGGAACGGATTCATTCTTCATACCAAGAAAGGTAAAACAAAAATGTCAACATTGATATTGTGGTTATTGAAGGGTTCTAAAGACTCGTGACAAGTTAGATTATCCAGCACTAGCAGTTTCTTGTCGATAGAGGTCTTGCACTTGACGGCAGAAAACATTCTGTTCCATTCAACGCCGCCATATTGAACGTCAAAAATTGCCTTACAAAAATCCATATAAATACAAAATTCGGTAAAACTTTACACGCTGTCAATAGTGCAAACATCGCTTTTGACAAAAAATAGGCTTTAAATTGTATGGTTAGTCAGTTTCTAGATAAATTTTACTGTATGTACTTCTGTGAGGGCATTTACGGCATCAGATAACACAATATTAGAAGACAAATCTGGCATTTTAATCTAAAGCAAATTTAAGGAAAAGATGTCCAATATGGCGAAGTAAACTATAAGCCACGTGACTTTCTGACGTCATGAGACACCTTAACTCTAGTAACCCACTCGCCCCTACTTGACAAGGATGAACTATTTCCGGTGTCAACTGTCCATTTGACATGCAGTCATTCATTAGACATAAGACTGAGTTTTATCCTTCAATTAAAACTGGAAAAGTATAAAGAAATGGACAGTGTGTGTATGTTAGAGAAACAAGCAAAACACGACCTTACTATACTCTGTCCCTCAGCTGGACAGTGGTAAGTCACGAACTTACAAAGCTAAAATCCAGGGTCGATTACCTATTTCAGCAAATAGCCCAATGTGGCTTTGCTCTAAAGCAAAAAAAAAAAAACAAACAAACAAACTTTACTCTCTGTCAAACTAAAACTATATCCAATACGAAAAAAAAAACTGCGTGCGCAATTTCGCGACAAACAGAAGATTTTTTTAAATATTTACCAATTCATGGAATTCATTTAAACATGTTTACTGCAACATAACGAAATTAATTGGATTAAGCCTCATGTATTTCGTTAACGTTTTACGGCAATACATACCGAATATTGGCATAAGCTTCCTTTTCTTAGCCAAGTCGATGCTACACTACCGTAGCGCCCCCAAATGAAAATATAAACAAAGCGACGAAAGATTTTGTGTTTTTGCAATAACAAAATCGTGAGCTTTTTATTTACTTTATACACAAGGACCACAACTTTGTTTTATCTTCCACCGAATACATAAAATAAACAAAGAAAAGTTCACTGGTGCGTATCAAGTGTAAGAATTAACTACATTACATCAGTATATTTAAGTTTTAATATTACAACAAAAATATACGCATACAACTTCTCTTTTTTTTACCTTAAAATATTTGAAAAAACAAAACCAAAAAACTACATTCTGTGCACAAGAAAATTATACGTACAAGGTCTTTGCGAATAAAGGTGATGAGAATGGCGTGGTGATAGCGCCACCTGGGGGTAGGACTGAAAATAGGGCTGGCCATTAGATGAAGAGGAGTCTGGTGTTCTTGAAGACGCTGTGTGAAAGGAAATTGCCATAATTAGAATTAATTCTTTCAACAAATTTCAAATATTTCATCGAATTATAAGCACATGATTGTAAAATAATTGAAAATCGATTTTTTATTAACCAAATGAATGATATAAGTACATAACATTTCTACGTTTCACTTGAGTTCGTTCTCATTCATCAAAACAAAACCGAGATAATTGTAAATCGCCACTATTAAACGTCTTCTCTTTATTCATGACTTTCCTAGACTCAGTTCAGTTTCACCCGAAACCTTATTTTCATAAAACGTAAGTAGCAGACTCGTTTAAAACATAATCTTTCAATCACATAAACTAAACATTTACTGCTGAAAAACCCTATTTACTTTCACAAACTTACATTGAAATAACACCTACTAACCTTATCTGGAGCTACGAGAAATATCCAGTTCAACAAAGACCACTTCTGTATACATCAGAGACTCAAGTAAAGTTTGTTTGTTTGTAAGCACAAAGCTACACAATGGGCTATATGTGCTCTGCCCACCACGGTTTCTAGCGTCGTAAGTCCGCAGACATACCCCTGTGCCACTGGGGGGCGACTCAAGTAACAACAAACAACTAAGAAAAAAAAGTGTAGATTTTTCGCGAAGTTCCATCCAAAATATGCAACTGATAAACTCAGGTATACCAGATCTTGTGGTACCATCTTATATGTAACCGATAAACTCAGGTATACCAGGTCTTGTGGTACCATCTTATATGTAACTGATAAACTCAGGTATACCAGGTCTTGTGGTACCATCTTCTGTGTTTGTTGTGTTAAAAGAAACAGGAAGGGATTAGAAAAAAAGCAAAACACTTAAGAGGGTTTGGTAATTTTTTTGTAAAATAAAACAAACAGACTGGGTCTGTGAACCTGCAAAGTGCTAATTTTGCTCTATCCATGAATTTAGTCCGAAAATTGCAAAACAAATTAATAGATAATTCTATGGAAGTTTGCCTCCTTCTCATAGCTGGAAAAGGAAAAACTGAGAAATGCATTACATCATAAGAAAGAGATTAATTTACTAGCGGAGAACGTAAGTCCCTATCCGCTACATACATACATACATACATACATACGTGTTTCCAGCTGGAATAGGAACATCGTTCCTTACAGTTTTACCGAAAAAGCTGTTTTGTTACCAAATATTTTATAAATGATGTTTCGGCTCATTAAAGTTTCCGTCGGAAGCAAGGTTAACGTAAAGAACTGTTTACAATAACCAGCAAATGCGTTTTCTTACTCTTTATAAGGGTTAATAAAAATCGGAAAACCTAACGTTATTTACTTAAGTCTTGATAAGTATTTCAGCTTTAAAAATGGAACTCTTGTACGTGCACTAAAATTACAAAACTATGTGAAACAACTGGAAATTTGAAGGTAAATAATTCTGGTTACCTGGTGTGCATCTAAGCTTAGGTTTCGATTCGTCGTTACTCAGGTGACCACTACTACTGTCCACATCTGATACTCCGCTATCCGCTGGACTTGGAGGTAAGGATCCTGAAATTTTTGAATATTTATTCAAGCAAGCTTGGAAAATGCTATAATTATTTTCATAAAAATATATATAGAGAAACTATCATCAGAAACTTTCTATTCAAGATTCTGAACTCGTTTGATCATCTGAAAGAAACGGGAAAATAAAGAAAACAAATGAACCTTTACAAAATAGTATAGTTCTACATAGAACAAATAAACAGAACAGAATGAATGAAAAATTATGTTTTTTAATGATGTCTTTATCAATAACTGTGATCTTTGATTTTATCATCCATCACGCAAAACTTCACAAACTGGGACACAAACGCGTTGTCTTAAGAAAAACACTCAAAATCACCAGAATAGCCAGATTGTTTTGGTGTTTAACGTTCTGGTATAATAGTAACTGAAGTGGCATAAACAACTCCCTCTGCTATGGTCAGAGACAAAGGTCATATGGAATGAGGTCATGTCTTCTGGTGGGGTTCTTGTTTATAACTATCGGTTTTCTGAGGGTCCCGTTATTTTCGTGCCTAGGTAGAAAAAAACAAAACGGGAACGACAGACCGTTCTGTGACCTAAATTCGAACGAGGCAACAAGCTGAAAAAAGAACGAGACAAAAGCACTCCATCAGAAGAACAACGATCCAAACACGCTTTCTTAAAATCTAGCGTGAACAAAAATGTGAAGTTTCGCTGAAAGCAAATAACAGTAATACTATTTATTTTCTGCTTTGAGTACTTTAGAAGTATATTAGTTGTTTATCAAGTAGGGATATTCTTAACAACGACTGAAATCCCGGGATTTTACGAAATAATACTGAATTTCTTATTAATTTAAATAATATATACATATGTAACCATAGTTTAATATAAGGATTTAACTCTAACTTAAATATCCTAAGCTAACCGAATCTCATGAAATATTACTGGCATTATTACCAAAACACCTATAACAGCAAGACAATACGACAAACACATATTCAGTATGATACTTAGTTTTACAAAACGTAGAAGGCACAATCTGCAGGCAGTATTGAAAATGTAAAACAATAGTTTAGTTATTCTACTTTACAACAATACAATCTCCCAGTTAGTCCAGTATGTTAAATTAGCTGCATTATTTATTATCAGTTTTGGTTTATGTTGTTTGATCAGAAGTTACTGGTAATTATAACAATAGCTTTCACCATAAGATTTACATACTTTTTCTCAAACTAGAATTTTTTTGTTTAATCTTTAATATTTCCATAATCATACCGTTTCAGTGTATTACAATTAAAAATCATTAAATGTACTTTTTCTATGGTGTGAATAACTTTTACAAACTGACGAAGCATGATTAAAATTATACTTGTCATGAGATATTAGTTTTAGGCCTATTATATTTTTTAAACACTGCATTGTTTATCTAGTCCCTTAAAGGTTTTCAAGAATTAGAAGAGTGTATTCCTACTACACTATGTTCACCATGTCCATTGTCCATGACGCGTTTCGCTCAATCCAGAGCTCTTTAGGCCGGCTCGAATACAGTTAAGCATTGGCGAGAGAATACAATATAAGTGATCGAACTTAAATCCCCCCCCCCCATCGGCTCACGTTAATATGACTTTAGTCATTAGTGAGTCTGTGGCTTATAACGCTAAAAATTGGATTTAGATACTCGCGATAGGCACAGTACATATAGCCAGCCCATTGTGTAACTTTTTGCTAAATGTCAAATAAATACAAATATACTATTTTTATTTCCTTCCCGAATTACGCTCTAACTCGCAATCTCGTGTAAAGCGGCAAGCCAAAGATTTCGAAAGGTGCCGGACGTTCTTTCTAATGTACATCAGCTGCGCGAGCCAAATGCGTGGTCCACGAGATTAGACAACAGTAACGAAAAGTGTTAGAATCATTTCGTGTTAATTTGTTCTCGTTAAAGATTAAAATTTAATGGTTGAACCAACAAACTTTCTTTGAAGTTCTTAATCATTTTATTGGTCACCGATTAAAGTTTTGTTTGCTTATTTTTGTTGAAATTTGCGTAAAGCTACTCAAGAGTTAATTGCCCTATCCTTCCTTAATTTGAAATGAAGGCTAAAAGGGAGGTAGCTAGTTAAGAGACCCCGCCACCAACTCTTGAGCTACTCTTTAAAAAAATTAGTGGCATTGACTGGCGCATTATAACCCCCCTCCCACGGCTGAAAAGGCTAGTATTTTCGGTTAAACGTTTCGATTCTGCCAAAAGCAGATGGCGAGTCGAGCGCCGTAACCACTAGGCCATGACAGGCATATCTATAAAGTTAAAAGTTAACGATGTCTTTTATAAACTGCAATGCACCAAAAAGCTTAATACATGCGTATCAAAAGAAAAAAGTGTCAGAATTATTTTTTAAAATTATAAGGTCTGATTATAATGTTTTTCATTTATCACTTTCTTCAGAGTCAGTTTTTAAAATTTTCTCCAAAAATTATTTCGATAAACAACGAACCTTACTTGAAAATAACATCGTTAAAATCATTTTACATTTAACTGTGCCCTCTCCCCTCGATGAATCAGCAACAGGTTTACGAGATTACAACACTAAAATTCACGGCTAGATTCCCCACGGTGGACAGAGTGCAAGTAGCTCGTTGTGTAGCTTTGCCCTAAGAAAACAACAACGTTTAACAGCAAAATATCTAACTGCTGAAAAGCGGCAGATGCAGTGCTAGAACTTAACGTCTACTGAAACTTCTAAGCGTGTTCAGAGTCATGCCACGTCTCGAACCTTCGACCTTATGATCGCAGCCCAACAAGCTAAATACTAAACCACTTCCGGCAAAAGGTATTGCCAATGTATTTGTCATTAAACTTTCAATGGATAATAACACCCCAAATTTTAATGGTCGAATTAGTCTACACTTTCTACCCAATTCTGTTTTTTCGCAATATTGATAGCTTAGTTGTTTTAAAAACACACTTATAAAATGAATACATAAAAAATACAACTTTTAGGTTTAATAACTTCAAAATGTTGCTTTATCCTACAAAAAAATTATCATTTCAACTTTGATTACACTTATTTTAAAAAATACCCATAAAAAAGTGTTACGTTTACACGAAGGTGGAAGAAAGACTTAAAAGTTGCAGTTTATGTCCCATATTGTGACCCTGATCAGCCTATCGGCAGCTGTCATGATGTTGTCGTCTCTCTCCCTTACCTCCATGTAATACTTGCAAAGTATTTAAGTGATCTTTTAACCACCAATCAGAGGCTGCTGCGTGGCAAAGTTGTAATGGTCAGAAACAAAAATTAACCACTTGATAATACCATAGAGATAAAGGTATTTGACAAGAATCTGTCTGTTCACTTATAACTGGCGAACCGCTGGATCGGCTGTCACCAAACCTGGCATGTACCCTTAAGGCCCCCCGGGGTGGTACACAGGGGTTCGGAGTTATTTGACAAAGTAATTCCCGTAGTAACAAGGTGTTTCCAAGGGCAGCAAGGTCAACCTGGGACCACACATCTTGAGAAAGTTTCCAAAAACCCTCCACTGTACAGCTTCCAAGGCCAAGCTCAAATAGACCAAAGGTGTAAAATACCATTGGAGCTTCATCAGAAGTAAACGAATTAAATTACTATGATTCCAGTTTCTTCGGCCAACTTTTGACATCGAGGTGTGACTTGAAACTCGCGGACTCTCAGCTTGACAGCCTTTGTCAGCTTTACATCTTTATTTATTATCTAATAATATTAGAAGACATGCCTAGCTTCAGACATGTCTAGAGGGTTTTGTTCCAGGATGACTAGGGGTATGGTTTCGGAGCCCCTTGCTGTCCTAAACGCTCTGGCGTGTGCCCCCCCCCCACCCTACTTCCACGAAGAATGTTGAATGTTGAGTGGTATGTCTGCGGACGGCTAGAAACCGGGTTTCGATACCCGTGGTGTGCAGAGTACAGATAACCCTTTGTGTAGCTTTGTGCTTACCTTCAAACAATCAAAGCTTGTAATCTTTGGCTCTGCATCATTTAATAATCTCGCTATACAAATATTTTTCTGTGGTATATTCTTCAAGAGATAACGCTACCCACACCAACATTTCACAGTCAAACGGTCAAAAACCGTGAACTTTATATATACGTGCTAAACATGTCGCCAATGACAAAACGCTTGTTTTTACAGCAACACACCACTGTATTAGCATATACTATGCGATTAACCCTTTCCATACCAATTCTCATCAGTCTGAATGCAAATCTTATATATTGGCTAAAAGATAGTTGGAAGGCCATACTATATGTACATGTATTTGTTCCCAAAATCTACACTCTTCAGTAAAACAGATAATACAAGAAACCGCTTTCTTAGAAATTTAACTGAACATTATCTCTTCTGCAAAATTTTTCGCTTTGGCAAAACTACAGACGTGGAGTATATTTGTCATCATTATTTATCTCCGAGTGTAAGCTAATAACTTAATTTTAGTATATACAAGATATGACATAGATATTAATATCTATAGGCCATTACACTACAGTGTTATTACATGATATTAACTCTGAAAACAACATTTTTCATATTCTATTGCAGCAAAACCATTAAGATCTTTATGATGTAACTACGATGTTGAAACAGTATTAATGAAAAATGTTTTTGCAGTTATAGACAGTTAAGGCACAACAATAAAGCCGTATGCTTTTCAGTTTTCCTCACGATAGGGTCTGATTAGAATATTCTTATAGGTATCTTCGATGTATAACTTACATAACAAGTATTTTCAACTAACAGAAAAATAGGACAAACGTATAAATCTGCAGAAAGGAGATTTTTATCATAATTAACTTGAACCTAAACTCTTGAATGGATCGTGCCATGTTTCATTGAAAACTTTGAACAAGAGAAAAACTGATAGTCCAATTTTTCATATAACAATTTGAGTTTAGGTTTCGATTTACTTCTTCGAAAAACGCATTGAAACTCGACTCCAAAATGTTGCTTTGATATTGATGAAAAGGCGTTCCAAAGCTAGCTAGTTTTCTTCAGGATCATTCCATTTTGACCTTGATATCCACCATAAGAATGGTTTTCAACAAGTTAATGACATCTAGGATACGCTGAGTATCTAATAGAAACAACAATAAATGTTCTTCAAATATTTCTTATGACGTTTGTTGGTTGAGATCTGACCAATCATATCCGAGTCTGTGAAAGTTATTACAATGAAAGGAACAAAGTGTCTTATTCTTGCTGTTCCTTCCGTTTCGCAGTTTTCTTGCACTCTTTTGATTGGATTCTAATGTTTTTGGACGAACTATTTTTCTGATCGATTTAACTTCAACTGGAACCTCATCATGGCTGCACCCACAACGTTTGTATTTCATGTAAACATCATGCCTTCCAACCTTGCACTTAAAACTGAGACTAGAGTAAACATGACTTTCGGACACTTTCGCAGTGAATATTGACTAGTCTAGCACTCAAAACAGGTCTTCTGTAGGAAAATACTGAGCAAAAGGCAATGGACTTTCACCAAAATCTTGATACAAAAGGAGGGAAGAACTCCTTTTCAAACAAAGATTCCTCTGCAAGAGGTGAACCAATGAGCACAAACGTTATAATGTTCAAAAGCCTTAATACTTACTAAGTCAACGTTGAACACCAGTATTTGGTGCCTATTTATCGTTTGTTGGATATTGTGATGACCAAAACTGCCTCTAATTTCTGTACGATCGACTCTCGATTTTAAGGCTTAAAAATATCTTTAAAACACTGGATCTTTCTTACATCATTACATCTGTGAAATCAAGTCGGAGGAAAAAAAACATACTAAAAACAATGAGCAACAGATAAAAATAATTATATTAACAATAGCAATTTCTATGGATCAAATGCCGAACATCTCATATGTTCACATGGTAAGAGCCTGAATTATAGAACTCATTGCAAGGCAGGGATGGGAAACTTTGAGGTTGTAGTGGGCCACAAATTCTATAGAAAAGGCTTTGACGAGTCACAATATACATTTATTCTAGCGGGCTACACGTCATTATCCTCGAAATTATACGTTTTATTGCGGTAGTATAAAATATAGAACCTGATGGTCTTTTGCTAGTTAACAAAACATCGTAAATATGTATTTTACAGTTCGTAAATGCAACATAATTTCACATCATGTTTATTTTATCTTTTTCTCACAAATTACAAGTATATTTCCGCCTAAACGTATCAAATAATGTATTAAATTCATTTTGAATATTTTTAAATGCAAGACGGGATAACATATGTTTATAATACAGACACGGATAAAAAAAAATGAATAGGGTTACTGTAGTAAATGATTTTGGTGCAACGGTACCAGTACCAACAGGATTAACATAATTACCTGGCAACTGTTGTTTGGGCCAAAGAAAATTGTCTGGAGAACGATACGCGGATTCGTCAGTTGCCTATCCCTGCTAAAAAGGTATAGCAGCCGAGATAAGGAGCTGTCAATTTCTAAGATTTTTTTGAAAGCTCGAAGCAAACGACTATTGATTAATATGTTGTCAATGGTGCCTTTATATTGTACTGTAAGACATAGAATCATTGTGTTCAGTTTCAAGGAAAGGCTTTTTAAATAAAGTGCTTTCCAAATCACTGACAGAACTTTAAAACCGTAGATAAGAGCAATAGCAGCCTGTTTAGCTGAAAGTCAAAATTAAAATGTTTTCATTATGTTTACAATTTAAAATGTGCTTTAGAACTATCCGTACAGTAACCGTAAACATTTCCATATTTTTAAGGATCATTATATAATGTTATTTAAGCATACAAATGATCTTATAGCCTAAATAGTTATTGGAGAGAGCTGATGTTGGTATGAGGAAACGTTAACTTGTTATAGTTATTGGAGAGAGCTGATGTTGGTATGAGGAAACGTTAACTTGTTAGAGTTATTAGAGAGAGCTGATGTTGGTATGAGAAAACGTTAACTTGTTATAGTTATAAGAGAGCTGATGTTGGTATGAGGAAACGTTAACTTGTTATAGTTATTAGAGAGAACTGATGTTGGTATGAGGAAACGTTAACTTGTTATAGTTATTAGAGAGAACTGATGTTGGTATGAGTAAACGTTAACTTGTTATAGTTATTAGAGAGAACTGATGTTGGTATGAGTAAACGTTAACTTGTTAGAGTTATTAGAGAGAACTGATGTTGGTATGAGGAAACGTCTCAAATTTTGAATGCTGAATTTTTGTTCTAAGCAAATATATAGCTTCACTGAACCTAACACAAAGGCTAAATGTTTCGAAGCTTTAAGTGTGGATTTAGAAAATTGCAGTCATGATCTTCCTACCTTTCCATGAGAGGTGGTCCGTTTTCCATTTTACTGCACTACAGAGACCGTTTTATTAAGATGTAGAATTCGGTTTGTTCAATAGTGTTTAAATGTATAATATTCCAATCACGCATACATTCGAACATCAATAAACATTTTGAAACCAGTCAATTACTACTGAAAGGAGAGGACAGGAAAAAAAGTTAATTTTAACATTCTAAAAAAACTCTAAATGACCTGTTGTGGTGTTGCAGGAGAAGGCTGGGTGGTGAGACAAGGCGATCATGGAGAACGGAAGGTGCTGAGGAGGCTGTTGTAAAATATTCTGAAGTAGTGTATTCGTCTTACTGCGATGACCTGATGACTTTTTCAACAAAAGGTTGTTATAAGATCGAGCATCCTCACACCCATCCACTATGTAATGAGAAGAAAAAAAAATCATAAAACTGTCAAGAAATTAAATTCGAATTTTTAACATCGGTACATAAATATTTCGAAATAATACTGTAAAGGTAAATAACAGACAATTACGTAGAATATAACACTGTTCAAAAAGTTTTATCAAACGTTGTTTTGTTAAGAAAATCTATATCTTTCAGAAAGATAAATCTCTTGGATACCAGTAATCATGCCATACTTGTATCATACTTGGATACCAGCAAGCATGCCATACTTGT